AGAGCTCTAGAATTTGAATTCAAACACTTTTGTCTTTAATATCTCTGTAATATTCTCATAAACGTCTGGATATTACTGTCTTGAAAGTGATAGGTGGAATGGATGAAAAAACACAGAAGGCAGAAATAAAAAAATATATAAATCAGAGTTCAGATAGGGTAATGGTGAAGCCCATGGCAAGGTTCACAGTAGGAAAAGAAAATGAACCATAAGCAAAATTCTATGCATGATCGCAAAATAAGTAAATTAATACTAAATAAGTTGTTTAAGGTTAATGTCTAAAGCAGGTAACAGAGTTAGTACTAAGGAGATCTTGTTATCGGAAGCAATCATGAGCTATCCAACAGTGTTCCATAAAGACAAAACACTTCAACAGCCATATTTGTTAAAGTAAAAGCAACCCAAAGACTATAAATAGATTTGGAATGAGTTGCCTTTAAGGGAATCTGGCTTATCCAACTTCCTTATTTGCAGGTTTATCTTTTTTTTTAGCCTTAAACTGTCCCCTGATGGTAGGATCATGTTTCTAGGGGACACTAGAGATGGCTTTATATTTACTGCTTTAAGGTTTTCTTAGTTTTTCTTCATGAATATCTTGTCTGATTCTAACCCTTATGGAACAGGGACTCAGGTCTTCAGGATTAAGAGATCAGATTCCCCCCCCACACACACACACAATAAAATACATAGAAGAGAACATAGGCAAAACACTTCACATTATAAGCTTCTATGATATTTTTCTGGATTTGTCACCAACAGTAAGGAAAACAAAAGAATATAAATAATTGGGACTACATCAAACTAAAAAACTGCTATACAGCAAAAGAAACTGTAGCTAAGATATATAGACACTCAACTGAATGTGAAAAAATATTTGTACAGGGCCTCCCCAGGTGGCGCAGCAGTTGAGCGCTGGGCTGTGAGGCTGCCCACAGCTCTGCAGCGCCGGTTCATTCCCCAGCCGCCAGCAAGGGTCCCACAAAAAAAAAAAAAAAAATTATACACCACACAAATGCAGATTTCAAAGATATATAAAGAGGGCCTCACTGGTAGCGCAAGGGGTTAAGACGCAACCTATGAAGCTATCCACAGCCACTGAAGCACGTGTTCAATCCTGTCTGGGGAGCTACCCACATGGCACAGCAGACCTCTCCTGACTCACTCGCTGCTCCCCTCAACAGTATTTCAGTCAATCTGCCTGTTTTGTTCCCCACTCTGTCTATAGTGAATCTTCTCACCACCATCTGCCCCCAGCACTTCTGCCCTGCACCCCAGTTCTTCTATGCATAAATAAATAAATCTTTTTTTAAAAAAACACAAAGATGTACAAAGAACTCATACTCCTGAATATAAAGGAAACAAACAATCCAATAACAAACAACCTGATCAATAACTAAGGAGAAGAACAAAATGGGAAATTCTCAAGAGAATACATGTTACAGAGGAGGTTGAGGGGCACCCCAGAACCCCCAAATCTGCCTTTGCTAAGTAGGTTCTGCCATCTACCACATCAAGACAAAACATACTCTAGTGCATAAGACTTTTTTTTTTTTTTTTTTGTGGGACCCTCGCCGGTGGCTGGGGATAGAACTGGCGCTGCAGAGGCTGTGGGCAAGCCTCGCAACCCAACGCTCAACCACTGCACCACCAGGGGAGGCTCTAGGCATAAGATTTTAATGGAAAGGAACTTTTAATACAATTAGTGTGCAACAAAGACAAGACAAGAAAGAATAAAGTTTCCAAATCAAGTACCCAAAGTTACCCATCCCATCATGGGTAAATGCTCAGACTAATGGGGTTGGCCCAAAGCAGGGCCACTGAGGCCCAAAAGCCTGCCACAAATATAAAGCACATGCTGGTGGGTACCCATGGAAAAGAGTCAGAAACCGCAGACATGTCAGGGAGGAAAAGAGCAAAATCAAGATAAAAGCTGCTATTGTTAACTTCCCCGGGTCTCTCACCCACATCTGTTTCAACAAGTCCAGGACCAAAATGCAAGTGCAAGTTTCTTCACAGGTCTCTCTGCTCCATGTGCCTCCTCCAGGTCTTCTTCTTGCTCCCCACCTTTCTTCCTTTTTTCTCCAGGCTCCTCTCCACCTTTTTCTCCTCCTCTCTGCTCAGCGCCACCCTCCCTTGGGTGGGGCAGGGAACCTGGAACTTCCCCTTTCCCTGGGGACCACTCCTTTACACATACAGATGACCAATAGGCCCATAAAAAATGTTCATCATCACTTATCGTTAGGGAAAAGCAAGTCAAAACCACAATGAGATTCTTCCTCGTGCCTGTCAGAATGGCCCATATCAGAAAAACCAAAAACAATAAGTGCTGGCAAGGATGTGGGGAATAAAGAGCCTTTTTTACACTGTTGGTGGGAGTGTAAACAGGTCTAGCCAAGATGGAAAACAGTAATGGTTCTTTTCAAAGGATTAAAATCAATCTACCATAGGACCCCACAACTCCACTTCTAAGAATCTACCTAAAGAACCCAAATACACTAATTCACAGGGAAACCTGCACTCCCATGTTCACCACAGGATTGTTTACAACTGCCAAACTATGAAAACAACCAAAATAGACAACTGGATGAAGAAGATATGGTATATATATATGCAATAGGCTACTACTCAGAAACCAAAAAATGATAAACTCATGCCATTTACAATAACATGGATGGAGCTGGAGGAGTGTATACTAAGCAAAATAAGTCAGAAAGAAAAAGACAAATATACTGGACTATATGGTTTATATGTGGAAGACAGAGAAACAAGTGGTCAGACAGAGACAAATTCAAAAACCAAACCTTGAAAACAGACTATTGACCTGAGATAGTCAGAGCGTAAAGGGAAGGGGTGGTGGTTGGTGGTGGTAAGCACAAGGTAGAGAGGGAGCACAATGGACTGTGGTGGTTGACTATGGATAAGGGGACCATTTGTGGTGGGAACCTAGGGTAACAGTACCAGAGAGTACAGGGAGAGGATCCTGTGCTTCCAAAATACAAACAACAATGTAAAATCAATGTTACCTCCCCCCCAAAAAATTCTGCACAATACTTAATGTTCATCATATTCCCAATGTCTGTTTCAAGAATGGTTATTTTCATTGTGTGATGAAGGACAGAAATGGACTTGAGTGGTGAACTTTATGTAACATACTCATACTGATCTGTAAAATATTCAGAAATAAAGCTATCAAAACTATTCGAGGCTTGTTTGAAAAAAACTAACTATTGATAAGATTTATTATTTATTATTATTTATTTTTAATTGAGGTAATATTTGGATACCTTAATCAGGTATTACCACCTAGTGCACCCACCATCAACACACCCATATTGCTCAAAGCATCTTTGATGCTTCTGATGACTGGTCCTCTTACCCCTCAGTGTAAGATTGAAGTAAAACCATTGTCTTTGTGCATCTCCATTGAAATATCACAAGTGCTGTGAGAAAGTGATCCTCAGACAAGCCCAGAGCTTCTCCTCCAGGCAACATAAAAGGAATCTGTCTCTGATAAAATGTGGCTGTGAGTTGAGAAAATATCTCTGCCTCTACCCTTAGACCAATTAAGCCATCTGGCTCAGAAGTCCTGGTTGCTCAAGCGGGCCCTGTGCATTCATGTGAACTCTTTGTTTGATTGTGGATGATGGGACAACAAAATCTTTTCACAGTTCTCTCTTGCTGTCCTGGAAATTACATCCTAGTATAATTTAAAGAAAAAGGATTTAGACAAGGAGTCATCATGTGCTAAAATAGATATCATTTCTCACATTTCCAAAAATTCAATGTGGTCCTGACTAAAATCCTCAAGTATAATGGTATTTTATACCTGACAAGCCGGTTCCAAAATTCAACTGGGAGAAAAATACAAACAAGAGCAATCTCCAATAATTCTTTTTTAATTAATGAATTGAATTTGACCTATTCAATATAAAAACATGTAATTATTAAGCATTTAAATAAATGAATTATTAAATTAAACAATGTCCAAATAGTATGTAGCAATAATTGTAGGACGAGATCAATCTAATTTTGGAATAGAATATCAAATCCATAATTTAACTTCAAAGTTTTATTTAAGATTCTTTAATATGGCCTTGACTTTTTTTTTGTTTTGTTTTACTCCACCATGTCAATCATTATATCAAAAATTAAAATGAACTCAACAATGTCTTACTTTTTACACCACTTTCGTGCTTTTTCTCCTTCGACCATTCCTGTTATCCTCTGAAAAAGTGGCAAAATTGAAGGATGTAGGCCTTGTTCCTGATGCCTTAATTTCCACTGAGATATAACAGGATGGCTATACTATAGAAGGCAGGGAAGGTCTGGGCCATTCACAGTCCTGCCTCACTTTGTAGGAATGTTGTGCACAGGACTGGGTTCTAAGGGCTTGGCAGTTTTCAGAGTTGGTTAACTTCTTCAAGGATTCATAGCTGGTGAAGACTGGAGTCGGCCAATTATATGGGGTAAGTTTCCTAATTCATAACCACTTCGAAAAGAGTGGCCTTCCAGAATTCCATCCTCTCTTCTGATGGTTCCTCATTCTGCTATGTTAGTGTGCCTCACCTTTTGACTTGCCTTCCTTCCATGTCTGTGACTGGCCTCGTAGGCAATCATAAATCAGCTGTCACCTATAAGTGTTGATTCATCCCAGAGGGAAATGTCCCTCTTGTGGCCCTTTCTGCGATGTATTCAATAAATGTGATGTCAGTGTTTGTCTCCTTTACTAAACTATGAGAAATTTTAGGGTGGGAGCCCTCCCCCCCATTCGTCATTTTATCCTTAGAATTTATCACAGTGCTTGGTAGAGACTAGATATTAAATTAAATGTTTCATAAGTTAATGGAGTCTAAGATTCCAACTTTTATCAGAATTCACAGAAATGACCTGGATATAGTCAAACTGCATCTTCTCAATGATAAAGCAACAGAATATCTGGGCCTCTGAGGCAGTAACTGCACCCCGCCCTGATCCTCCTTTTACTTTCACTGTTGTTGCAGCCAATGGGATCAGAACACATGGAGATGCAGAAGCCCCAGATGTCTGCAGCTCAGGAGACATCAGGCTCCACACCCGGGCAGCAAGGAGTAGGGAACCGAGGATCCAATGCATGCTGCTTCTGCTGGTGTTGCTGCTGTAGCTGCTCTTGGTAAGATTTGGTTTGGAGTTTCTTTACTAATGTGCTAATGTATGTTAAATTACTAAAAAACAATCTAAGTCAAATGATGGTCAAATATTAATATCAGGGCAGAAGCAATGCCTCGATATTTACAAAGGAGTAAACTCAATATAATCTAGATGGTAATAAAGTGTTTGTGGAGGACTGAGAATTTAAGATGGGTCTTAAAGATAAAGGCTATCAAGTGGAGAGAGTCTGGGTCTTACCTTGTGCTTCTGCTTTATTAATTTTGTTTTTTAACAAAGGAAATATAAAAATACATTCTTAACAGAGAGAAAAATCTGAAAATACAGACTAACATGTAGGTAGAGGAATATATACAATCATTGCTTAGAAAAAGAAAAAAAAACTGATATTAGAACTAATCAAGACCATGAACAAAGAAACATTAAAATTGAGGGGATGGTGTGAGTTAGAGATTGAAACTGAAATGTCTCTAGGAAAGTTAGATGTGCTGTTGCTTGATTGAACTAGCGTTAATTTCCAAGATGTTGAAATCTGGTCTCTGGGACCCAGCAAGGAGACTGCAAAGACTGATGGAATCATGATACTACAAGGTCTATCCAATGGAGACAGAGCCTAGATATCAGTTGGGAATTTGGGGGAGCTAAGAAGTCTGGCACTCAAGGCAAGATTCAACCCTAGGTGGGAATCTAGAAGACTTGGCAGGAAACTGAGGAGAGGGATGTATTGGTACAGCCTAAACACAATGGGATCTAGGACCTACCTAGACAGTAAGGATACCTACCAATAGCAAAGAAACCACTTTCCAGTCCCCTCCTCCACTTTTTTATTTTGTTAATCTTGCTCAATGAGATGATTAGAGAAGATTTTCTGAGCGATGTGGAAGGATGCCCCTATGTGAGTGAGAGTCATAGGTGATATTTATCCTGTCCACATTCCCTTTTCTGCTGCCTTGGGAGACACACAAGGCTGAAAATGTGGCCTAAACCACATGGGACTAATGGTATAAGGGTAGCAAGTGGCAACAGGCCCCCGAGCAGGTCTTCCTATTTGTACCAACTTGGGTGAATAAAATATAAATATATAATTAGACATCATCATCATAGCCAATACTTATGTGGTATTATCTGTGTATATAAAAGACAATAGAATATGTCTTCAAAGTACCAAAGAAAAATGAATGAACACTTAGTCAAACTATAATTCAATAGCATGGTTAAAATAAGACATTTTCTTTTTTTTTTTAAGATTTTTTTTTTTTATACAAGAGCTGGGGTACAGGCCAGAGGCGCAGGAGGGTGAGAGGATTCACCAGAGACAGAGTGGGGAGCAGAACAGGCAGACGACCGAAATACACTGCTTAGGGGAGCAGCAGGCGCAACAGAAGAGGTCTGCTGCGCCATGCGGGATCCTCCTCAGCTGGCTGGGATCGAACCCTCACTGCAGAGGCTGCAGACAGCTCCACAGTGCGGTGCTCAACCCACTGCAACACTGGGGAGGCCCAAAATAAGACATTTTCAGACATACAACAGTCAAGAGAATTAACTGCCTTCAGACTCTCCCTATGAAACTAAGAAAAACTTTATTCAGGGGCAAAAAAGTGAACCCAGAAGGCATTATGGGAAATAAATAACAATAATGAATGATAATAGATAGAAGAAGGCTCAAAAATAGCTAGAAAACACTATATTTACTTTTGTGTTAAAAAGTGTATCTCTAAAGTCTTTAACAAAAAATCCCATGTTAATGATAGACAAATCAAATAACTTCAGACTTTCTTTGAAAAAAATTATAAGAACATTTTATTTTAAAATTAATGGTATTCAGGATGAGTCTGGAAATACAATGAATAATTTCCATATCAGCAGAACACAATAAAAGAAATTCAGAAAACTTTACAAGTATATGCCAAGATGTCATCAGCAAAAGAGAAAATGAACTAGTCTCTAAATACCAGGATATTTGGTATTAGAGTGAAAAACTTATTCAAGTTTCCTGGGACTTTCTTTGACTTTCACATTGGCTCATTAACCCTACCTGGTATCCAAATCCACAAAAATAGATTTCCCACATGTAAAAATCAATTCCTAAATATAAGATCAGTTTCAAATGACCAAAAGAAAAGAAAGCAAATGAAATGAAACATAAAGTATAATCCACTTGTGTGTCTACAAACAAGGATCTAAATATAATACCTCATCCTAGGAAAACATCTCACATATATGAAAAAGGAAACATGTATGAGAGAATACAATGCAATATTCATCTGATTGAGAAATATGGAAAATGTTCCTGAAGTTCATGAACAGGAGACTGGATAAATACATTGTGATACAGTTATGCAATGCAATACCATACAACATTTGAACATGTACTGAGGGTGGGAGGAGAAAAGTGTAAAACAATGCATATAATACCTATCATTTGAAAATGTGTTTGTGTAGTTGTGTGTGTACACAGATAAACATACATACCTACATACATGCATATATGAGAAGAGAGAGAAACCTATGAATAGTAATAATAAATAAAAAATTAAGAATGGTGATTATCTCTGGAGTAGAGAGAGAAGAAAATAGGATGGGGGAAAAGTACACAGAAAACCTCAGTTATTTTAGTATAAAATTTCCTTGATTTTTTTCCCATTCTCAATATGAACTCAAATGTTAAACATACTTTTGAGATTTATCCGTGTTAATACTTAGACACTTTTAAAGAAAGGTAAATAGTAATATGTATTCTAAACAATTGTATTACCTTTCTAAAAATTCTGCCTCAGGTTCTTATGACCAGATGTCATAAAGTTTCTTGGTCTTTTAAAAATAAATTGGTTTTCTTTCTAGAATATTGAAGAATTTTTTCCTCTTTATAACTCATAAGTTTACCAAAATATATCTAACCATGGGTCTTTGTTTTCTTTCACTAAAAAGTTATATAACATGCTGACCAAGCATTTTAGTTTATATTAAGATTTTCTTGTTGGACCATAATGATAACAGTAAATTCAGGTTAAAATTTTGATACAAAATATATTCTTCTCTTTTTAAAGAACACATTATCTCTTTAAGAAATATCTCTACTTTAAAAAAAAAGGAGACTTGGGAAAAATATCAAGGCTTAAATGAATTTGGCATAATTTAGTTTGCAATATAACTTCCAGTTCTCTCAGGAATTGTGTCAGAGTCATCCTTTTTTTTTCTCTTTGCTTTCATACCCACTGTGTAGGAATGTATTATTGCTTACAAAAGAAGCCTAGGAAGTCAGGCAGTGTTAATGCTCCTGCAGAGAGGCCTCTCACATTTGTTTTTGATTTTGTTTGTGTTTCTATTTTAAGAAAACAGTATTTACTGAAACTTTTTAGCCTTGGCATCATGGAAGTACAAAGTCAAAAGACTTCCTGCATTTCTAATGACTTTGCATTTAAAGAAAAATAGAGCTACACACACAGAGAGAAAATTACTGGAGATTCATAAAGCAGATGTACTCAAAATAAAATGAAAGAGTTTTATAAAATGAAGTAAAAGATCTTAAGGAAAGATAATAAAAGGAGTAGAAAAGACAATATTGTGGCAATAGTAAGAGAAAGCATACTCAAATGAACAATAAGATCATAATTTTGATATTAATGGGAAGCTGATAGCATTCCTGCTAAAACCAAGAACAAGGCAAGGATGCCCACTACTATTTAACCTTGTATTTTAGGTATCAAATAATACAATTAAACATGAGAAGACAATTTCAGGGCAAGAATTAGAAAAGAGGTAAAATCTTCTTTGCTGGCAGATTTTATGAGCATTTACTTGGAAGCCCCAAGAAAACTTTTGCTAAAATTGGTAAAGACAAAAAAATTCAGTGACGAGACAGGATAAAATTAGCATAAAAATAATAGCCTTCAGTATGCAAATAACTCTTACAATTAACAAATAAAGGACAAACCATTTTTAAAATGGGCAAAGTATCAGAATATACATGTCTACAAAGAAAATATACAAATAACTAATAATTACATGAAAAGATGCTCAACATCATTAGCAAAATTCAAATCCAAAACTACAACAAGATAGCACTTTTACCTGCTTAAATGTCTAGAATAGAGAAGATAAACAATAATAAATGCTGGCAAGTATGTACAGAAATTAGGCCTCTCAAACTTTGTAGGTGGAAATGCAAAGTGATACAAGTTGCTTTGAAATTTCTTCAAAATGTCAAAAACAGTTACCAAGCAAAAGAAAACCAAGAAAAATAAAAACAGATATCTACACAAAAACTTGTATATGAGTTTTCAGAGTCAAATTGTTCATAAAAGTCAAAAGTGCAAATAACCTAAATGTTCATCAGTTGATGATGAATTAATAACAAATTATGGTATAGCCATAGAAGAAAATATCACTTAGCCACATAAAAGAATGAAGTACAGAAAGATGCCATTATAAAAGCCAAAAGTGCAAATAACCTAAATATTCATCATTGATTGTGAATTAATAACAAATTGTGGTATAGCCTTAGAAGAAAATATTATTCAGCCACATAAAAGAATGAAGTATGTCACAATATGGATGACCCTTAAAAAACATTATATTCAATCAAAACCAAGATGACATAAGAAGTAGTTCCTTGCTTTGCTCAGGAGAGAATTATCTAAAAATTAACTAGAGGAACACTACACCCAGAGAATACCATGGCTTGGGGTAAAGCTGGAACACTTCTTGGTTATCAGTGACCAGCACATACTGTACCAGAAGGCACATGGAGGTTATTCATGCTTCACTGAAAAAGAGGTGGGTGGGGAGAAATGCCTGGAGGTTGTAGTCCAGGATGGGAGGCTATGGTACACACTGCTGTTGCTCAGTCAGGGATCATAGGGAAGGGAAACCCAAATAGTGTGGGAGGCACACCCCCTTGACTGAGGGGCAATGTGCAGAGGAGCTGATTTGCTCCTCGAAGGCTGGATTGCTAGAGAAAAGAACAAGAACAGTGAGCTCAACAGTATTTCTCCTCTCCAACCC